GTGATTTTTCATATCAAAAAATAGTCTTTGGTTTTCTTTTTTATAAGCTAAGTCCCTTTTATGGTCTCTGTTAATTGAGTGTAAAAGATACAACATGTATAAATCAGAGCTGAATTTAGACTATTGACGCCTCTGGTCAATTTTTTCGGGCACACCATACAGAAAAAAAACTCGTCAATTTTTAACGCTGGTATGAGCACTAGGCCCTTTTGGCGAGGTGCTAATAGTTAACCATTTATATAATGCTAAAAATTAAAAAAAATAAATAAAATGCAGTATTTTTGTTGTATTTTTTAATTGAGATATCTTTGAATTAGTATTGATTGATAGTATGACTTTATTGAACTCTCTGTCATAAGTAAAATGCTTCGGTGCGAAAAAAAAAAATGGTATAATGATTTTGCCCTTTCCAAGTACTTTGATTTATGATAGGATTTTCAAAAAAGGATGTTGATAGTTATAAATTATTTTATTTATTATCTCTAGAAATTTTATTTTGATCCAAACATTATTCAAATAAGTGTAGATCGATTTATTATAACCAAGAAAAATTTCATTCTGTATAATAAATTAAATAATCTATAATTTAATTTTGTTTTGAATGAGAATGTATATGTTTAGTTTCTATGCAAAATACTACAAAATCGGCAATTGTTACCAAAAATTGAATGATTTTTGACTTTAATACCCAATATTTCCTAAAAATCAAGTTTTTGGATATTTACCATCTTAAAGTACATTAAATTTACTTTGATTTTGTAGAAGTTTTTAATGAAGTCGGGTTTTTTAAGCATTATGAGAAATTGAAAAGAAAAAAAAGATTTGGTACTAGTTTCGTTTCATTAGTTTTTTATCAACATTTAAAAACAGTTTGACTCTCAGGTAGAACAACAAAAAAGTTTATTATGTTGTTTAATCAAATATTTTAATTTTTTAAGGTGATAATTTCATCAAAAAATAAGTCCTACTATTGAAGCAATTATTGAGCAAGATAGGTATTTAAATGAGACTATAATAAACAGAAAGTCGGATCCTTTGTTATGATGGAATAAGAGGAAAATGATGTTTCCTAATTTATTTGATTTTTTATTGCTGAGATTATGTGTTCCTTCAACTTCTGTTCCGTGCGAAGGGACATTTTTTAAAGCGGAATACACAATTACTGAAAGGCGTAATAGACTTACAATTAAAAATTCAGAGATATTACTGTTTTTAAATAGTAATTTTTGATTAAAAATATAATTTTAGAAGACGTTTTTTATGTAAATAAATAATTTAACAACATAATTATTATGTTATAAATGATTTAAAATTTTAAGAAGAGATTGAAAATATTTTTTAAAATAAATATTGTTTTGAAGATATTTTTAATTTTGTAATATACTTATATAATTAAAAAAGACAATATGTTATTTAACATATTGGTTAACAACATGATAGTTTTATACTTTAATAATTGATTATACCACATATTAACTTGGCCAAAATACGGTACGTGTCTAAAATATACGGTTATTTATTTATTCTGTGGTAAGGTTTCTATTTTTTTCATTAAAATTTAATATTATGCCTATCGATATTTCTGTATTATTACTGTTAAAAAAAAATTCTTATCTAAACATTTTCCGAAAAGCATTGGCGCCTTTTAAAATATTACCTTATGAGTAAATGACATAGACGTATTTATTGATTATTATTGGTACTGTACCCTACTAACGTCCAGCGTAGGTACAACTGTTTATATGATCAATAAATACTGGTTTGGTTTTGGTAACGGGTCACAATGAAGGTACTTAATTACAAAATAGTAAAAGTACCGGTGTACCGAGTATTTTGGAATTGTTACTTTTAAGTAACTGTACCGAAAGGAACGAAAATTCCCACCACTAATGTTTACATGTTTTAGAATAAACATACATCAGCTGATTGATTACTCTATCACTGTAGTATTAAAAATGATACCGTTGATCTTATTATTGATAAATAATAAATGATTATAAATTAATAAAAATCATAATTATAAAATATAAAAATATACAGGGTGTTCAATAAGTCAGGAAACGGGTTTCTATTGTTCTCATTGTTTGTAACAATGAAAACAATAGAAACCCGTTTCCTGACTTACTGAACACTCTGTATGTATAAAAATTAAAAGAATTTTCTATTGTGATCAAATTATAAAAATCTAAACTTCTCAAATCAACTTAATCGCCACAAAAAATGTCATAAAAATCTATTCAGCCTTTTAAGAGGAGTTTGATTACTTACACACGGAAGAAATATACAGAGTGGCCCACCACTCACTGACAACTTAAATAACTTTTGATCCAGTTAATATTTTTAGTTGATTTTTTTTTTTAATAATATTTATACGTTAGGTCTATAGCTATATCTCAATAATTAATTTTTTTACATTTTATTAAAAATATTAATTATTTTTAATAAAATGTAAAAAAAAAATCTAAGTTAGCTATTTTGTGNATTAATTATTTTTAAATTTTAAATAAAATGTAAAAAAAAAATCTAAGATAGCTATTTTGTAGAGTAGAATTTAAGAAAAATTTTAGTAAAAAAATATCTTATTAATATTCAGTAGTAAATATTCTGTAGCGTTTTGAAGTTTGTAAAAATTTGAATTTTCATGTACTATTTTACGGTATTAAACATTGAAATACGTATTGAGAAAAGGACAGAAGAAAACGCTATCTTTTCATGATTACTGTGTATACATATGATGATAATGTGTATACATTACAAACTTGGCATTAATACCATGATAAGAAATTAGATAAGGCAATTATTACTTATCACTCTCATTCAAAAGTATATATCCTGTATATATAAAGATTATAAACTATCATAAATATGAAATAGAATTAATTATTCATTTTATATTTAGCCTTCAATCTGAAAAATGATACATAACATAATAAAATTCATAAGAATTAAAAAAGTCGGTTTAATTTAAATCAAACTAAGAGCTAATTCCCTGTCTATTACTATTATTGATCTCATAAATATTGTATACGACAGCAATAAATAAAAACTCATAAAAATTGATTAGACATAATAAAAAACTAATGGTAAATGTTTACACTAGTTTTACATCTTTATAAATGCATTTATTATACAAAAATATTTATTTTAATTAAATTATCTAATGGTACTCAAAGATACTCCTATCCGCTTAAAAAGGCGTATTTAGAGGTAGACGAAAGTTTTAAATTTTTATGAATTTCTTTAAGTATCTTAAAGTAAGCGATCTTAAAGTAAGATTATATACTATTGTCTTTAAAATAGAAGTCATTCAATAAAAAATAAAATTTCCTTACAAGAGTTTTCTGGTTTTAAGACAAACTTATGGTATAATATTTTAGCAATCAATTAATTATTATGTTACAGATAGGCAGAAAAAAGTTATTTTGATATTTTTCCTTATTATTTTATAAAAAGTACAGTGAATTATCTACATAATAAAATATTATACATAAAAGATACATTAAATACTTCTATATTTTATTGGATAACGAACGCAAGTATAGATTTATCATAAGGTAGAAGTAAGTAATTTATGGGTCTAGCTACTTCAATAGCCGGGGGAGGTATTATGTATTTGATTCGTGTATGACATCTTAATTTCTTTAGTTATCAAGGTTTATTTGTACATCTACATGGTATTCACGAACATATAATAATTAAAATTCTACGACACATTTTTTATACTAAAAATTAGGTGATAAGAATGTTGCCCAATAAAAACATTTTGTTGCTAATTTAATCATAATACTTTGTTAAGGTTCAAAAATATAAATATATATGATCCCTTAATTTATATTTAACTTAACATTGGTATTAGATAAGATATATGATTTACCCCTAAATTGCTACAAAACATCTATTAATATTTAATCTGGTAAATGTGACATTAAGTGTAATTGAATCCTTTTAAGATCGGTAGTACAGATTCAATTCTAAAATACCACCCTCATAAAAAAATTTACTAAGATTATTATCTACTTAACGTAGAGGTAACCGAAGTAATTCCGAATTCCAAAATTCGGTATATCCAAAAAAATTATTTTGGATAATTTAATTAAAATACAAGAATTATTTTAATAGTTTGTTGTTTATCATTGTTCGAAAATTGGAGAAAACGTAATAATGAAACTCAACAGAGTGGGGTTGCAGCGCAGTTGGAACAAGTATACAATATTTGACAGTGATTTTCATGACTATTATAAAAAACGCTTCGATACGAATATATTAAATTCACAATAAATTCACTCATATATTAAAGGCTTGTTATATCTATTTTATGACACAATGTGCATTAGAAATTTCTGTAATCCTTTAGCCTAAACTCTTCTGTTAAACAATCAATTACTATCCTACGAGAACATGAAGTACAGATGTGCCATTATAGAACTTAATTTAAAATAAAATAATTTTTTTAAAAAAAGTTGTATTTTTTTCTTAGTTAGACTTTTCAGTCAAACATAAAAAAAAACACAACACCACAAAACCAATACCTTCTCAGCTTGGCGTTAAGCTAAAACAGTACGATTATCATAATATTATATCAAACTAACAGTATTTACTACTAAAAATCAAAAAATAATAAAATTAATGAAAATCTAATTATCCAAAAAACGTTATTTATTGATAAAAACTATAACTATCGATAATATTACATTAATTAAAAAAATGGTAATTATTGATTAAATTGTAACTATCGATAATCATTATCGACAGTTACCATAACTGTAAATACCGCAAATACTGAGATTATCGTTATATGAATTAGAAATAACACCAGCCTTAATATAATATGTATAATTATTGTAAAACATAATTACAAGAAAAGTATGTCAATTATATTTTCTCCTGGATGCTGATAATTATTACTACCTGAATTGATATAAGTTCAAGATAAATTATATTCGAATAAAAAAATAAAAAAATTTAATTTCCTATTCACAACGTAATAAACTTCAACTTTAAAATAAAATAATGACTAATTATTTTGTTAGGAATTATCAGAGGGGCACTAGAAAATCATAATGACAACTTCAGTTCCATTCATTATAGCCAATATGTCCCTTTTTCTCTAAATTATAATTTCTGTGACTTGTATCCATAGACTGATAATTCGCAAAAATGTGATTCCTATAGTAAATTAGTATTATTATTATTATTGTGGATATATGTAAAAAATAGTGTAATGTCTATTTAATCTGTATGTTTATTGCGCTTCAAAAATGTTGATTTGCATAACTTACCACTGAAAAATTTTATTTTGGTTTTGATCTTTTGTAAAATTATTAATATTGATACATCGACTTTTGGAAAATATTCACAGTTTTTTTTTAGTTTTTTAATACACGTTTTATATTATTTTAAGCATTACCTTTTTCGCATTGCTAAAATGAATAATTAAACATTTAATATATAGTAAAAATATAAATTTATTTGTATTCATAAATCTATAAAATATCAAATTAATTATAAATAAAAATTAACAATTACTCTTATGAGTAGTAACGTTTTTTATCAACTTAGATTATAGTTTTCGATATCAACATTTAATAAAGATATAAAAAATATAATTTACATTTAATATAACCAAAGAAAAATAAAAATACAGATCTTATTAAAATCTTTTGTATAAAATTTGTAATTAATATAAACTAAAATAACTAAAAACTATGAATAGCATTGAAAAAATTACGTATCCTTTCATATGATACGTATAATTTGTGTCCGCTATATATTAAAAATAAATAAAATATTATTAGAGAGGTATTCTTTAAATTTATTTGTACATTAAAAATAGATGATATGTAAGAAGGCACGGCAGATAATTAAAAGACAAACAGTTATATAATAGTACAATGTTTATTTCCTTTTAAGTTTTTTCATTTTTGTAGATTAACATATTTCTTTTATGGCTTATATTGTTTGAGTTAAATATAACCTACTAATGAAAAAAAGAATTATTGACTTAATATATATATATATATATATATACAGAATGTCCCACCTTGATTTACTCGTTTGAATATTAGTTTATATATTCAATTAGTAAATAACGAACATTATAAGAATATAATTATATAACATTACAGAATAAGGAACATTCTGTACACAATTCTAGAATTGAGATTCACCCCAAAATACTTAATTAGTGCACAGTAAATTTATTATTTCATTTTATTCTCTACTAATTTTTTTGATTATAAAGAGTGTTCAAAAAGTAAAGAAACAGGTCAATTGTTACAAACAATGAGAAAAATAGAAACCTGTTTCTTTACTTACTGAACACACTATATATATAGTCATAATATATATAAGAGATTACAGTTTCTGACTGACCAACTGATCGATCAACTAAACATAATTCAAGACGGTGCAAATGACAATAATTTAAAATTTATATTAGTTTTTTATTTCTACCAAAGATAGAATTTTGTTCAGGGAGTAACATAATTTTAGATGTAATTAGTGAAGCAACAAAAGAATATTCACTAAAACACATTTCTCTGTAACGAAAATATTCTTAAAATTATTCTACTGTCGATTATTACCAGAAAATTAAATAAAAATCGAACTAAAATTTAAGATTTTTGTGAATGGCTATAAATTATTTGAACTTAAAACCTAATGATTTTCCTATATTTATGATTAACCTATTAGATTTTCTTTTAAATAATAATGATGTTGAAAAAAAATTTCTGGCTTTGTTGAGTTAAAAATTAAAAAAATCACTATCAAAAAACTATTCGACGCAAATTTGTAGAGAGTTTTTAATTTAAAAAAACGGTAGCACAGTGGGGTCGAGGCACAGTGTAGACAAGGCATAGATGGGACAAGTATAGATGATATTTGACAGTGATTAAAATCACTATCACAAGAAACGCTTCGATGCTAATCTGTAGATAGTGTTTCATTTAGAGAAATTGGTGGATTATTCCAAAAGCAACATCAACTCGTATTTCTTTAATTATATCCTAATTAGTAGTTCTTTGATTTTAAAATATAATATATGAATAAATACTAATTATTAAATTTAGTATGAAAATAAAAAAGTAAAAAAAAATTTAATAAGTTTAATTTCTTATGTCTTATGACCTTTATTCTATGTCAATTAAATTATATAATATTCATGAAAGTCAATATATTCTCCTAATAAGATATTTTAAAATAAAATAAAATACAAAACCTAGAATTTTAATAGAAAAATAGCATATTTTTGAATACGGTAGCCATTTGCGCATAGAAGATAGGTCGTCGGGACAAATTTTTTTTTTCATTTTATAGTACATAAAATAAGCTTTAATTTGATATATGTTTAAAGGACGCAGTATTTCCGGAACATTTTCAAAAGTGAAGATGAAAAAGTTAGTTTTTGTAAAAAAGTTGCTATTTTAAATGACCCCCAACGAGCAGGTTGTGTTAGATTTTCAAAAAAATGATATCAAATGAAAGGGACATATCTAAGGTTTTAGTATAAAAAAAAATTATGTTGATTTGTTTATTTTTGAAAAAGTTATGGAAGTTTTAAGAAAAAAAAGTGAAAAAAATGACAACATTTTTTAAATTTGTAATTTTTTTGTATATTTCCCCCATTTGCGGGGAATGAGGGAAAATTTTTCAATTTTTAAGGGTAATGTCTTCAACTAGATACGATTTGTGATCTTTTGACGTATTTTTGAAAGAAATCGGTCCAGTGAGAGCTGAGAAAAAGTGGCAACAGACATAAAAAAAAAA